TGAAAGGCCATGACCGCTATTCGCACCGCTATAGCCCCGCTATTGGCCGCTATTTACAACACTGGTTAGGATTATGAATATTTATTTAGGATTGGTTAAGTTGTAGCAAAGGGATTAAGTTATAAACTCTGTGATTTCCAAACTGGTCTCCTATTTATAATCCTTAGATTTGTATGGACATAACTGATCACAAATAAAGCCTATAAAGTCTAATGATAAAAAAGAAACACCAAACATTTAGGAACAAAAAATAAACATATATAACAGAACGTACATTACAAAAGAAAGGATATTAATGAGGTTTCTAAACCAAACTGAGTCTCTTTATTTTAGCTCAATAATGTGAAGTTTAACATCGCTATGTGAAACAAATAATTAATTTGGCACGTTTAAGGTCTCCATATTGGTCTAGTTTTAAGAACATGATGCAGAAAGGATGCAACAGTTGGCCTCTTTGAATGGGCAGCAATAATGAACTTTCTAAATTTCAAAGGAATGGTTACTCATTGACCTACACTAAAAGCGTATATAAACTTTATCCCCTAAAAGTTTAGGTTTTTATTGATGTGCTTTTTAATAAATCATCCATATTTGCATTACCACCTGTTAGCAGTTAGTCAAGCAATCTCCATCTAATCTACGTAGGTCATGCTGCTCGCACCTGTGCTAGAGTGCTATCTTCATATCCTATTTAGACAATTTTGTGAGACTGGAAATATTAAGGGTTTTGCATATAACCCTAAATCATTCATATTTGCAAATTTACCCTCTAAATCCAGATATTTGCAAACATACTCTCTCCTCCCAAAAAAACTCTTTCAGACTAGTTGTTTTATATCCCTCAATAGTAACAACATTCAACTTTTAATAATTTATAGATTAATTTCTAAACCCAATCTCATGCCTTTCACCGTTTTGTCACCAAATCAAAGTGCTTTCAACAAAACTAGAAAATACCTAAAAATCCTGCATGTCCTTATGGTTAAGAACTGGGGGGCTAAAAACTGAGGTGGTGATGACAAGATCTAATGCCGAGTTGGAAGGGGAGGGAAGTAACACGGAGGACTTCGTCATTGCTGAGGGTTTTTAATTTTCTTGGTTCTCGCTAAAGTGGAGTGGGGAATGAAATGTTATCTAGAGTTATGAAAGATGGATCTTGACCAACAGGTGTTTGAACAAAATCACATGTCGTATCGTATAATTAGATGGCATCTTGTTAAGGCAAAATTGTATATATATCAAAAGCATTCTAGTTGTTTGATACCATCTCACCACCTCACCCTATTTTCAATTTTTCTTTTCACAATTCATTAGAAACTTGACTGGCTGACTGAGCTTCCTTGTAAAATTGAAACTTTTACTACACTTGTATGCATCATCTTCATATCCTATGGTCATGACTCATGAGGAAGGAAATGAGATTAGGGGTAGTTTAGTCATTGCATATCGTAAATATTAATATAGCCAATAATATCCAAGCAGTGTTAGATGAGGGGTATTCTCATTCAATGTGAAAGAATTTTTTTTGGGGGGGTTATAGTTTTGCAAATATCTAAATTTGGACGTAAATTTGCAAATATGGACGTTTTGGAGGATATATATGCAAAAAATCCTAAATAGTAACAATCAACATTCTAGGCCAATATTAAATTAGATATATATGCAAAAAATCCTAAATAGTAACAATCAACATTCTAGGCCAATATTAAATTAAATAGCAAACCGGATATAACACGAAAATCCTAAATAGTAACAATCAACATTCTAGGCCAATATTAAATTAAATAGCAAACCGGATATAACACGAAAAAAGGCAGCCATCCCCCGGTGGTCGGACGCGACGATCTAAGATGGCATAGGCTCATTTCTAAACAACTTGGACACACCATGGCATGATAGTGCATTCTCTGGATAAAACACAACTAATATAGAAGATGCATTATAATGGTATAATGCTCATAAGCATAAAAGGTTAAAGTTACATACCGGAAAAAAATATGTAATCAAAGCAGTTATCTGCAGCCCAGATCGATAGCACCTGTTATACTTCGGTTTCATTGTGCCTCTATCAATCTGAGCATTTGACTCGCGAGACACAATCCACTCATTATACACAACCTTGTACGCTGAGGTATAAAGATTTTAAAAGGCAAGACTAAATTACAGAGTATTTTTGTAATGACCATATCAAAAATGAACAATTGCAGTATTCATAATCTTTTTAAAGCAACCTTTCATCTTTACGTATATATATGGCTTAGATTCACTTCGAGTCCTAAAGTTAGAAAGTTTATCACTATGATAGTATGATACCATAAAGTATATCAGCACTTTGATACCCTAAAGTTTCAAACCCATATCACTTTGACGCCAATTTTAGTATAACATTTATTTTTGTGTTAAGTAAAACAAAAATGATGAAAATGATCTCAACTAAAACTCTCCCGCATACAAACAGCTTGGCTTTTTTCATAACTGAGATTAGAGTCTCAAACTAAAGCCAAACCCCTACAGACCTCCCCAAAACATGAATCTAGATGGACGGCGATGAACCCAAGCTCGATGACGACGAACCCTAGTTGTACAAAGAGTAGCTCGACAAAGATGGATGTTGTGGAAAGTTAATGAAATGAAAGCAGAATAAAATGAAAGCAGATCGCTGTTTCACGAATTATTTTGGTTAGACATTTGTACATAAATTAGGTTACGGAGAGAATTTTAATCTTCACATTAAAGATCCTGGGATTTCCATCAACAGAGGATGGAAATGATTATGAAGTAACTAGAGTAACTGAGAAAATAGTTGAAGACAAGGGAAAGTGGGCCTTGCCTGAGAATCAAGATGAAGTTGATGATGAGAAAGAAAGTGAAGACAATATTAATGGTGGGGAAGATGAGTTTAACATGAATAGAAAAGTTTATAGACACAGGGCTCTAGGTGGTGATGATGTTAAGCCAACAAATATAGCTATCTCAGCTAATTGGAGAAGCATGTTGATGTCGAGGATGTTGCACATAATAGCTCTAAATGGATTATTGTAGTTTGTAGCGAGAAGACGTGCAAATGGAGATGTTATGCTACACGGGACCAAGACAAGATAAATTAGAGGTCTAGTTGATATTCATACTTGCAAGAGAGTTTATAAAAACTCTCAAGCAAATTCCGCATGATTGGTAAAATGGGCAATGAAGTGGTTGAGGGATAATCCCAAAGGAGTGTTGATGACACGAGGAAGATGATACTCTCTGAGCTAGAAATGGACGCTAGTATGCAGCAAGTCTGTAGGGCTAGACCAAAGCACTTGAGGTGATTTAAGGGGGCTACAAGAAGCAGTTTTGGCAATTGTGGGAATATTCTCACATAATTCTAAAGAGGAATCCAGTATGGTTAAAACCAAAAGAGAACTTGAATAACCGCAATGAGTTTTTTGGCTTCTTTGTGTCCTACAAGGCCCAAATTGCAGGATTATGGATGAATGTAGAACGGTTACTGGATTAGATGGACGTTTTTCAAAGACTCTAACTAAAGGTATTCTTCTTTCCCCAGTGGCTAGAGATCAAACAACCAGATGTTTCCTTTTCCTATAACAGTAGCCGAGTGGAATCAGAGAGCAGCGAGACTTGTGCTTGGTTTTTGGAATGTTTCAAAGAAGCCATGGAATGTTTCAATGGGTCCATGTGTAGAAGTTGACAGTGGGTTCAGAGGGATTCAGCTGGGAAAATCAACTATTAAAATGACCGATATAAGGTAAAAAGTCTCAACTATTAAAATGACTGATTTAAGGAAAAAGTCTCAAGTTAAAAGAGGAGAAATCATAGTCCCTTCAAGATATAACGTAACTGATGGGAAGTGAGGCAGGGCCTCAACTTGGAGGTTAGGGATCGTTGATGATGTGGCAGAATGGGGATAAATTCCATGACGAAGAAGAAGGCTACCCTCTATGAACAGTACGGATCTTGAGGAAGCAGCCAACAGTGTTCATCCGTGAACAGTAATTTTTCTTTTTTTATAAAACAGATTTGTGGTTGAGATTGGATGGTTACGATTGAAAGTGAAGAAACTTTAGATACAACTAGGCCTCACAGCTGGGGGCTTTACACCCTAAACAAAAGGCAAATCACATGCCAAAGAACACTTCACATGTTCACAAGAGAATTCTCTAACTCACTTTTTTTATTCATCAAAGTCTATTCCTCATGGAGGATTACATCTATTATTTATAGAGGGAAAAAAACTAAACATGGAAAGGAAATCCAAACCTAATCAAATCCTAATAAAAAAGAAACAAGTCTAACAAAATAAGTCTCAGAGATCCTAAAAATACTAAATCAAATCTTAAGGGGATCTTTACCTAAAATTAGAGATTACATCGAATATTACTAAAAGAGCAAAGATTCCACTAAATAAATAAAATTCATGATCAACAACTGATGATTGTCCTGCAACAGTAACATTGCACTCAATAACAGTCCCTAAATTGTAATGTAAATGTATGGTTTAAGTGACGAATTGCACGTTACATTACAGGGACTAATAACCTTTGCACACCAAGAACCACCAAGAAGCAGAAGCAAGTTACTTTGATAAATTTTTGATAGCTCAAAAAAATTAGTTTGAAAAAATAAACAATTTTTGCTATATATGTACCTTTATATCTATCTTTATAGTGGTCTTTCATTTAACCCACATCCTAACTTATGAATGGTTTCTAATTGAAAGGAGGAAGAAGAAATGGAGGAGAAGGGTTATATTCTACAACACAAGGGCATCTTTCTCTAATGTTTATCACATGCACAACACATGGTACACCCTAACAGAAAATTTAATGTTTTCTAGCCAGAGGTATCAAATTAAAGCGGTTTTTAAACTTTAGGATATTAAAGTGGTAAAAAAATACCGTATGGTATCATAATGATGAAATGAGTAAACTTTATGGTATTAAAGAGGAAATAAGCTATTTTACATTGACTTAAAAGCATTGGAATTTAAAAAGCAATACCATTTTTGGAAGTCCAAGACTGCACCATGGTGTCGAGAAAATGTTTGCATATCTACCCAAAGATAACTGCCCCCTTGTTATTCCTGCACAAGTTATGCTGAGGAAAGAACAAATGTTTAATTTATATATTAAATATGATTATGAGAAAACACACTATTTAAGGAATAAAAATCAAATACCTTCTTGGAATGTCGTTAAAGTCCCCACAAAGAACTAGGCCATCATGTTCAGAGAACTTGCCAAATCTTTGCAATTGTTGAAGCTCCTCGGAGAGAACACATATCTAATGAGAAATAAGAGAAAACTTACTGGTATAAGAACTCTTGTATATAAGAGAATTTTGAGGATAAATCTTTGCGGTGAATCCCTTTATTGTTTGCAGTGTATAGACCTTGTTGCACCACTGGTGAGAAAATTTCTGGTCTTGTGAGATTCTGTTGACTAACTTCATGTTTTATTAGATTCTTGAAGGGACTGTGATTTCAAGAGATTGCTACTGTTACAGTCCCTGATATAAGGAAGCTATGGGTATGGACCATACGGATTATGGTAGTATCTTGGTTGTCATCAGTATCAGTGATAGACAAAAAGCTTGTTTATCCATTTGTATCTTAAACAATTGGTTGCACTTGTTATTAAAAAATGGGTTACAATCTTTCCATTTCCTTTATCATTTTTTCTGACTTTGTTTACAGGGATAATTATAAGCTGTTAAAATGTGGTGCCTTTAGTTACTCACAGATATCGTGTGAGGCATTTGTATGCTAACTTTCATCTGCAGTTCTTGGAATTGCTGCTTGAAGAGATTGCTATGGAGGGCTGCTAAATCTTATAAAATGTATGATTTTAATCTGGTAATGAAATGGCTTAAAAAAGAGAACGAAAGGGCATGGAAGTGGCTAGATGCTATTGACAAAAAAATGTTGGGCAAGATCCCATTTTAAGGTTTATGTTCCATGTGAAAGAATTTTTGGGGGCGTATAATTTTGCAAATATCTAAATTTAGACGTAAATTTGCAAATATGGATGTTTTGGAGGATATATATGCAAAAAATCCTAAATAGTAACAATCAACATTCTAGGCCAATATTAAATTAAATAGCAAACTGGATATAACACGGAAAAAGGCAGCCATCCCCCGTTGGTCGGACGCGACGGTCCAAGATGGCATAGGCTCATTTCTAAACAACTTGGACACACCAAGGCATGATAGTGCATTCTCTGGATAAAACACAACTAATATAGAAGATGCATTATAATGGTATAATGCTCATAAGCATAAAAGGTTAAAGCTACATACCGGAGAAAAATATGTAATCAAAGCAGTTATCTGCAGCCCCAGATCGATAGCACCTGGTATACTTCGGTTCCATTGTGCCTCTATCAATCTGAGCACTTGACTCGTGAGACATAATCCACTCATTATACGCAACCTTGTACGCTGAGGCATAAAGATTATAAAAGGCAAGACTAAATTACAGAGTATTTTTGTAATGACCATATCAAAAATGAACAATTGCAGTATTCATAATCTTTTTAAAGCAACCTTTCATCTTTACGTATATATATGGCTTAGATTCACTTCGAGTCCTAAAGTTAGAAAGTTTATCACTATGATAGTATGATACCATAAAGTATATCAGCCCTTTGATACCCTAAAGTTTCAAACCCATATCACTTTGATGCCAATTTTAGTATAACATTTATTTTTGTGTTAAGTAAAACAAAAATGATGAAAATGATCTCAACTAAAACTCTCCCGCATACAAACAACTTGGCTTTTTTCATAACTGAGTTTTAGAGTCTCAAACTAAAGCCAAACCCCTACAGACCTTCCCAAAACATGAATCTAGATGGACGGCGATGAACCCAAGCTCGATGACGACGAACCCTAGTTGTACGAAGAGTAGCTCGACAAAGATGGATGTTGTGGAAAGTTAATGAAATGAAAGCAGATCACTGCTTCACGAATTATTTTGGTTAGACATTTGTACATAAATTGGGTTATGGAGAGAATTTTAATTTTCACATTAAAGATCCTGGGATTTCCATCAACAGAGGATGGAAATGATTATGAAGTAACTAGAGTAACTGAGAAAATAGTTGAAGACAAGGGAAAGTGGGCCTTGCCTGAGAATCAAGATGAAGTTGATGATGAGAAAGAAAGTGAAGACAATATTAATGGTGGGGAAGATGAGTTTAACATGAATAGAAAAGTTTATAGACACAGGGCTCTAGGTGGTGATGATGTTAAGCCAACAAATATAGCTATCTCAGCTAATTGGAGAAGCATGTAGATGTCGAGGATGTTGCACATAATAGCTCTAAATGGATTATTGTAGTTTGTAGCGAGAAGACGTGCAAATGGAGATGTTATGCTACACGGGACCAAGACAAGATAAATTAGAGGTTAGTTGATATTCATAGTTGCAAGAGAGTTTATAAAAACTCTCAAGCAAATTCTGCATGATTGGTAAAATGGGCAATGAAGTGGTTGAGGGATAATCCCAAAGGAGTGTTGATGACACGAGGAAGATGATACTCTCTGAGCTAGAAATGGACGCTAGTATGCAGCAAGTCTGTAGAGCTAGACCAAAGCACTTGAGGTGATTTAAGGGGGCTACAAGAAGTAGTTTTGGCAATTGTGGGAATATTCTCACATGATTCTAGAGAGGAATCCAGTATGGTTAAAACCAAAAGAGAACTTGAATAACCGCAATGAGTTTTTTGGCTTCTTTGTGTCCTACAAGGCCCAAATTGCAGGACTTATGGATGAATGTAGAACGGTTACTGGATTAGATGGACGTTTTTCAAAGACTCCAACTAAAGGTATTCTTCTTTCCCCAGTGGCTAGAGATCAAACAACCAGATGTTTCCTGCAGTGTTTTCAAATGCGCGCGCCTCATTGCGCCTCATGCGCCTTACGATGCGGGGCGGTGGTGAAGCGTCCCACTTCTGATGTAACAGTGCCTTTTGTGCCTCGCGTACATCCTTAGTTTGTGCAAGGTCCATGTAGTACATATCCTCATATAGTTTTGTTTGTTAACATTTCAATCGAGTATTTATACTTGATATTTCATATCCCAAAAAGCAAAATAAATCCATTAGTCCTTTTTAGTAGCCTTCAATTAAGGATCATTACTAATCCTTTGCTTGGATATTAGTCTTGATTTAACATTTGATTTGAAAATTTATGAATTTTGCTACTATGTTGGGTGTTAGCAATAGAAATTAAGGCATTATATTGTGATTTTGTAGTAAGATATTATTTATCATGATATTTTTCAAGTGAATTCTAAAAATATGTTCTTTCATGCTTGATTATGTATTTTGAAAAATTATGTGGGCGGTGTGCGCCTCGCATCACTCGGACGCGCGCATCGCGTTGCGCCTTGCGCATGTGCGCGTAAAGATGTTCTGCGCCCCGCATTGCGCCTCACGCATTAAAAGCACAGGTTTCCTATAACAGTAGCCGAGTGGAATCAGAGAGCAGCGAGACTTGTGCTTGGTTTTTGGAATGTTTCAAAGAAGCTATGAATGTTTCAATGGGTCCATGTGTAGAAGTTGACGGTGGGTTCAGAAGGATTCAGCTGGGAAAATCAACTATTAAAATGACTGATATAAGGTAAAAAGTCTCAACTATTAAAATGACTGATATAAGGAAAAAGTCTCAAGTTAAAAGAGGAGAAATCACAGCCCCTTCAAGATATAAGGTAACTGATGGGAAGCAGGGCGGGGCCTCGACCTGGAGGTTAGGGATCGTCGATGATGTGGCAGAATGGGGATAAATTCCATGATGAAGAAGAAGGCTACCCCCTATGAACAGTACGGATCTCGAGGAAGCAGCCAACAGTGTTCATCAAGGTTTTAAATATCGGATGTCGGGTTCATGTCGCTCGGCCAAAATTCATGTCGGATAGCGAAAATCGGGGATATATCGGGGGACATGAAAAAAATATCGGATTACCATATCGGGTAGGTTGATATAATATCATAAATGGAATCTTCACATACTTGATAATTATATTGTCTAAACATATAATTATTGATGTTAGGATCACTAACCAATTGTAGACACCTGATTCCCGAGTGCATATTGACAGTATAATAATTATCCAGAATATAAAAATTACTAATACAATTCTTTATACACAACTTTATTTATTAATGTAAAGATTTATTAATTGTTCAATTTAAGAATTTATGTTATTATAAAAGTCACTTCATAATTTTACACTCAAAGAAAAAGATTACAAAAAAAATGTTCACATACAAAGCGCGTGCATTATACTAGTAGGAACAAAAAGAAAATTCTACTGAAATTGAAAATTAAACTCGTAATTGCTATTCTAAACTACTTAACTGCATCGACTAACAATTGCAGGATTTTTATTATATATCTGTCATTTCTCCAAACAAGAAACTAGTAAAACCGAAGTATATGTGCACCTAATACAAATAAATTCATGTGTTCTTATAGCCTTCCATTATAAAGAAAACACATGCAATAACAAGTAATTAAAACCTACAACAAGCACCCATATGGGTAGTGGATGGGAAACAATGTGAAACTTTACATAAATAGAAGGTGAAAGATATTGCAAATCATATGATTTCAACATGTCAATGTGAAACCGATATTTCTGAATTTTGGCCGATTTTTGATGGCCGAAATGTCGTCCGATATATCCGCTATTTTCCGACATGTCCCCGACATGACCTCAAAAACGCCATACGCATTAAATTCAACAATTTCGTGGCGACTAGGCTCCGAATCCGCAATATCAGCCACCATGTCCGACATGGCGGTCGATATTTAAAACACTAGTGTTCATCCTTGAACAGTAATTTTTCTTTTTTTATAAAAAAGGTTTGTGGTTAAGATCGGATGGTTACGATTAAAAGTGGAGAAACTTTAGATACAACTAGGCCTCACAGCTGGGGGCTTCACACCCTAAACGAAAGGCAAATCACATGCCAAAAAACACTTCACATGTTCACAAGAGAATTCTCTAACTCAATTTTTTTATTCATCAAAGTCTATTCCTCATGGAGGATTACATCTATTATTTATAGAGGGAAAAAAACTAAACATGGAAAGGAAATCCAAACCTAATCAAATCCTAATAAAAAAGAAACAAGTCTAACAAAATAAGTCTCAGAGATCCTAAAAATACTAAATCAAATCTTAAGGGGATCTTTACCTAAAATTAGAGATTACATCGAATATTACTAAAAGAACAAAGATTCCACTAAATATATAAAATTCATGATCAACAACTGATGATTGTCCTGCATCAGTAACATTGCACTCAATAACAGTCCCTGAATTGTAATGTAAATGTATGGTTTAAGTGACGAATTGCACGTTACATTACAGGGACTAATAACCTTTGCACACCAAGAACCACCAAGAAGCAAAAGCAAGTTACTTTGATAAATTTTTGATAGCTCAAAAAAATTAGTTTGAAAAAATAAACAATGGCTATATATGTACCTTCATATCTATCTTTATAGTGGTCTTTCATTTAACTCACATCCTAACTTATGAATGGTTTCTAATTGAAAGGAGGAAGAAAGGGAGGAGAAGGGTTATATTCTACAACACAAGGGCATCTTTCTCTAATGTTTATCACATGCACAACACATGGTACACCCTAACAGAAAATTTAATGTTTTCTAGCCAGAGGTATCAAATTAAAGCGGTTTTTAAACTTCAGGATATTAAAGTGGTAAAAAAATACAGTATGGTATCATAATGATGAAATGAGTAAACTTTATGGTATTAAAGAGGAAATAAGCTATTTTACATTGACTTAAAAGCATTGGAATTTAAAAAGCAATACCATTTTTGGAAGTCCAAGACTGCACCATGGTGTCGAGAAAATGTTTGCATATCTACCCAAAGATAACTGCCCCCTTGTTATTCCTGCATAAGTTATGCTAAGGAAAGAACAAATGTTTAATTTATATATTAAATATGATTATGAGAAAACACACTATTTAAGGAATAAAAATCAAATACCTTCTTGGAATGTCGTTAAAGTCCCCACAAAGAACTAGGCCATCATGTTCAGAGAACTTGCCAAATCTTTGCAATTGTTGAAGCTCCTCGGAGAGAACACATATCTAATGAGAAATAAGAGAAAACTTACTGGTATAAGAACTCTTGTATATAAGAGAATTTTGAGGATAAATCTTTGCGGTGAATCCCTTTATTGTTTGCAGTGTATAGACCTTGTTGCACCACTGGTGAGAAAATTTCTGGTCTTGTGAGATTCTGTTGACTAACTTCATGTTTTATTAGATTCTTGAAGGGACTGTGATTTTAAGAGATTGCTACTGTTACAGTCCCTGATATAAGGAAGCTATGGGTATGGACCAGACGGATTATGGTAGTATCTTGGTTGTCATCAGTATCAGTGATAGACAAAAAGCTTGTTTATCCATTTGTATCTTAAACAATTGGTTGCACTTGTTATTAAAAAATGGGTTACAATCTTTCCATTTCCTTTATCATTTTTTCTGACTTTGTTTACAGGGATAATTATAAGCTGTTAAAATGTGGTGCCTTTAGTTACTCATAGATATCGTGTGAGGCATTTGTATGCTAACTTTCATCTGCAGTTCTTGGAATTGCTGCTTGAGGAGATTGCTATGGAGGGCTGCTAAATCTTATAAAATGTATGATTTTAATCTGGTAATGAAATGGCTTAAAAAAGAGAACGAAAGGGCATGGAAGTGGCTAGATGCTATTGACAAAAAAATGTTGGGCAAGATCCCATTTTAAGGTTTATGTTCCATGTGATTTACTTTGTAACAATATTTGTGTAGCTTCCAATGGATATATTATGGAGGCAAGAGATAAACCAATTGTTACAATGTTGGAGATAATAAGAAGGCTTGCATTGCAGTGAGGAGACACCAACAAAGAAAGAAGCTGGCAGTAAGTGGAGTGGAACTATTTGCTCTAAGGTAGTATCAAGGCTACAAGAAGTTGGAAAAAAAATCAAGAGAATGCTATGTAAGTTTCTATAGTGGAGAAGGGAAGTAGGAAGTTAAAGTGTCTGGGAGGCAAAGTGACTATTAACATCGCAAATAGGTCTGTGATTGTAGGGTGTGGCAATTAACTGGTATTCCTTGCATACATGCTGTACCGTGTCATAGAGAAGCAAGAGTTTGACATTGAAAGTGTGGTATCTGATTGCTATTATGTCACAAAATAATTGAAAGCTTATGAATTATGCCAGTACCTGAGACAAGTACTTCTTCTTCTTACATAAAAGGAAAACAACAAATAAGAAAGAAAAGAAATGCGGAAGTTGATGTTTTTTCAGCATTAAGTGAAATAGAATGTTTTGTTTCTCATATGCAAGACATCCATCAGGGAGAATTTCTGGTTTCTCATATGCAAGACAACCTTCAAGACCCATTTTCTCGGTTAACCTAGAAGCACATTGAAAGAGAACTAATATCACACTTTACAATGGGTCCATGTGTGGAAGTTGACAATGGGTCCATGTCTGGAGAGCCATATAATACTAAGAATTGTTTGCAATATTTCTGATATTTGAGACTCATCGACATTCCATAGCTGTGACTAAACAAAAGGGTTATACAACCATCAAAACATATAATTTATAATATATTTCTTTAAAATATAAAGTATTGAAAAAACTACATCAAAATATAAATTTCTCAAGAACTAAAATACATGATAAAATAAAACGTTGGTACTAGTTTGGAGGCTTGATTAGTGAGTTATCATCGCGTAACCTTGATTTCCTCCTCTAATAATTGCGGATAGTGACGAACTAAATCCAGTTATATATTAAGTATTATCCTTTGCCGAACATTTAAGAGGGTAACCTATGAAAATAAAACTTTTGAGAGACTAAAATAACAAAATTAAATTGTTGAAAAAAAAAATCTAAAAGTAAAAGAAACTCTCACCGAAATATATATATTCCAAAGCCTCCCAATCCAGTATGGTAACATTATGAGGTTCTGTTACCGGTGTCTTCGTCCTCTCCGTCGTCATCGTACATCTTCGCCGGTGATATTGCCGATTCGATCGCCGCCGTGGACAACCTCAACTCTATTTCTCGCTCTCCGAAGTCTTTCTGCGTGATCAAGTTCCTACACTGGCCGTTGGTTTTATAGAGAAACAACGGGGTGGAATCGAATCGAATTTGAACAAATAGTGCAAGGTTCAAATTCGAGTTCGGCTTATATGGTGCTATTCGTGTTCGTATTCGAATTCGACATTCGTCGGAGAGGGAAGAGGGCGTCGTCGCGGGGAGGGAGGAGGGCGTCGGAGAGAGAGAAGCGCAGTACGGTAACAAGGGGAGGGAAGAGAGAGTTGTCTGGGGGAAGGAGGACGGCGTCGTCAGCGGGGAGGGAGAAATTGGTATTTGGTTGGAGGCGGAAAGTGGAACTCAGTGACTGTGAAAACCCTAGTCCCTTAACATGTCTATTTATAGAGGGGGAGAAGTTGTAATAAAAATTTTAATGGATAATATTTGCAACAAGTTTAATTAATAGGATTAACATATAAAAAGTTATCGAATAGTTAATGATCAGCCGAATCAAATATACTTTTAGTTAAATTCTATTTATTTATAAGCTGAATGCTAAAAAAATATTCATTTAGTATTAAATAAACTACCAGATCGAATATGATCGAATATCTAAACGAATATTAACCGAATTGTTTATTAAATATTTGGTTTCGCTTCCACCCCTAGAAACAAGCACTTCATTTTCTTTCCTACCCTATAATCCTACTACCTACCCTCTTCATGTGATACATCTCATCCACATGTGACTCTACTGACAACTTCCTTTTTCATTTTGAGGATTTTTTTTTCAAAACAACAAAATATCAAGAATTTAATCATAGGATTATTAGCCCTTTGACACTCCTTAGTTAACACCATTTTTAACTTCGATACTTAGAGTTTCCCCAAACATTTTATATCCAATGTTTGTAGCTTTTATGAATTTTTGATATCCTAAAGTTTTTATTTTTGACACTTTAATACCTGATTTAGGGTATCAAAATTTAAAAATGTGTAAGCTCTGTGTTATCAAAGTTTAAAATTGTGTAAAATTTAGAGTATCAAAGTGGCGAAAAAGACATTAGGGTATCAAAGTAAGCAACAATGTAAATTAACATTAGGATATCAAAGTTAAAAAGTATAAACTTAGGGTACCAAAGTGCAAATGTTCTTTAGTTATATAGACAACTATGTTTCTCAATTATATTTACGAAAAGTAGCAATAGTAGTAGTATAAGGTTTTTTCCGTAGTGATCCGTTTAATCTTTAATATTTTGAAATTTCTCCTTCAAATCATTTTTGAATTCAGTGCTCTACGTGTTTCTGTAGGTAAATGCAGCTAAATATCTTTCTCTTATTAGATCATACTAAAGAAACTAGATTGTGTTGGATTCAATGGAGAAAAGAATTAAATTTCAAGTGTTTTGTTAAAGATTGTAAATGGGTCTTAATTTTAAACACTTGTCAAATTGGTTTCGTGTGCTTTCTCTACCAAATACTGCAGAGATGGATTAAGGATAAAATATGCTGCTATAATTAACAAAATTAAATAACAACATTATCTTTTTACGAAGGCAATTATGACTTGAATGGCATATGCTCGCAACAACATGAGAAGAACAAATATACCAAGAGATAAGAACCTGAAGCATGATAAATTGGTGTCAGTCCTTATTTTTATTTTTAGAATGATGTCCTTCCTTTTTGTCTATAATTAACAGATGAGGGTTGATTCCTATTCTTATTGGAAGAAGCCAAGATGTCGTTATCAAATGCATCCAGAAAAATCAATCGATCAATACATAGACAGATTGCAGATATATAGAAACATGAGTCATTCCTTAAGTTTAACTCAGTAAGATATATAATTGCTTGAGAAAATATCGCAATGGTATATATAATTTATGGTCTTTTTATAATTTCTTTTATTTTCTTTTTTTGTTTTTCCCATTAAAGCAGACCATTTTTTCTGTTTCCTCAGTCTGAGGAGTTTCTAATGAGAAAATCCCAAACATTGGTGACAATGTGTTGCTGTACTTTTTATTTTTGGTTTTCGAATATTTTGTATGTGACATCTTGTGAGCGGGTTTGAAAATTATGCTAACAATTTGGGTACTTCCAATAAGAAACTGTTACTAAACATAAAACAGTAACGATACATAAGAGAATATCGTGCAATCCAAAAGATTACATATAGGTAGGAATCATGTTGTAAGCTTTTTCACCTAAAAGGTAAGAGAACTGATGGTACAAATCAACAATCATATAACAGACATCTTAGACGTTCATATTTCACCTAATTAATGCCTCGAGAGCATCTAGAAAAGAGGCTACATAAAAGAAGCAATGATATAACATGTAATAAGGACTCTACTACAAATATTGATGTTTCTAATTCATGAATCCTTTCATACATTTTTGACACAAAAGGAACCATTTCATATCATACTTGTCAAAGCTCTTACACTCACTAATATTGAAATGGAAGATCGTATTTTGACATAGTAAACAATCATATAATTCTATATGGCGTAAAATTTGGTTCTCAATGGAGATTTGTATTAATTGAATGGTAATTACAAATCAAGAATCAAAAATTATAACAGAAGCAAAGAGAATGCTCTTCTTGTTTAACATGGGTTCTTTGGTAGCGATAGGACGCCTCCCTCGATGCTCGTGTCGAGTTTGCTTCCCTTGGACGATCCGATCGAAATTACGGTTGAGCTTCAGTACGCAGTAGAAACTCGTATGATTGAATTCGGTTACCCAAGCTTGATGAGTATCAAGGCCGAATGCTTAGAGAAGCCTAATATGCAAGAGTTTGCAAAGAGCCAAGAGTCTCAAATCTGAGAGTTTAGATTGAGTCCACTTCAACAATCCAAACGCTTTCTTAAGAATATCCAGTCAAGCTCTCAAAATGCCTAGCCGATCAAGCCCACCAAGCCCCCTTCATGTTGCCAAAGGTGGCTTATAAATAGGCAGGGAAAGGCATGGTCCATCCCTTGACTTGCTTTCTTAAGAATATCCAGTCAAGCTCTCAAAATGCCTAGCCGATCAAGCCCACCAAGC